AAAAATTGCACCCCAGGCTCGAACCCGCGACAGCTATGATCTATTTCATGTGTAATCCAACAGGTGACACTAACGCAAACATTAGGTTTGCTACACGGATTTCCAACACCGTAAGGATGTTTTCCAAATAAGTTTGATAAGGAAAGTCATGTGATGTTAAGGTTGAAAACCGTTTAAAAGTTTAGAACAAGATTGAAAAAAATTGAAAAAAATTCTTTAAATAAATTATTAAAATATGAAATCTGAGTATGGAAAATGACTTTAAAATCGTTAAAAAAAAACAAGAAAGTTTTATTAAATCTTTGACTGGTCAAAAATTAAAAAAAAAAGAATTTTTGTCCTTCCAATTAAATGTTTTTAAAAAATTGCCCAGAATCAGTGAAAAAAAACCTAAATCGTGCAAAACAAACCGGACTGGCAACTTATTTTATGTTTTTTGTGTTTTTTTTTCAAAATCTTTAAAAATCAGTAAAGTTTTTATAATTTCTAATTATAATCTTTAGAAAAACTTTGTTGGAGAAAATTTTTTGTTTGTAATTTTGTAAACTATTAAACATTTTCCTCCAACCCTAAAAGAAAGTGGCCTTTTTCGCCCTAATTTCAAACAGAAAAGTGGCCAATTACGTCCCTCACTTTTCAAAATTTCCATAAAAATATATTTAATCTCTCAGGGAGGTAAAAATTTTGCATAAAAACAGAAAAACGTGCTGCTAGATTTAATGGGGAAAATAGGATATCAAGAAAAATTATTGTTAGTTTTGAAGTTTTTCTTCCTGGATCGTAGAAAAAACTTATATTTATTACACAAGAGGAAAGTATAAAGATATATTTTTTTTCATGAAACACAAATAAGTAATTAACTGTTAACAAGATTGGTGAGAAAAGATAGAAATCAGAGTTAAAAAAAAGATGTTTTAATAAATTAGAGAAACAAAATTGTTTGAATAATAATCTCAAAATCTGAAAAAAGATCTGTAGACTCTATTTTACGTTTTCTGCTTTGTTTTTTCATGTTCTCTGAAAATTAGTATAGTTTCATATTTTTTTAATTATCAACACCAAAAATAAAAATTTGTTAGAAAAGATTTGAAAAAGATGTAATGTTTAAATAAAACTAAATTTTTTGTTTTAAGATTGCAAACCGTTAAAAATCTTAGTGCAAGATTGGTTAGGAAAGAAAAAACTGAGATTCTTCGAAAATATTGTTAAATAGAAAAAATTGTTTGAACTTTATAACTACTCGTATTGCTGAATTATTGAGAAAAAAAATTGTTGGAAAAGATGTAAAAAATAAAAATGTAAAAATATACAGCAGAATAACTGTTTGAATGTTGTGAAACTCCAAACTATTAACTATGAACATTTATTTTAGATTTGACTGTTTTGTTACTTCAATATTTTCAGAAAATAAATGAAATTTTCATACTTTTATTGTTCATATTATCGATTGTTGCCCTTTTTCAAAAACCTTTTAGCAATATAAACAAGTCAATTTATTGTAGGACAAACAGCGATGTTTTCGTGTTTGATTTAGACTTTTGTATCTTTTACAAAATCCCTCGAGAGAGCGAAGGAAAAACGCTAACATAACAAGCTACTGCTTAAACATGTGCGGAAGCGTTATTAACGGAGATTCCGTTAATTTCCGACGACGGCTTTGTCCTCCTATTGTTTTCGTTACACATTGTGTTTTACGCGTAAAAACCAAATTGCAATTGTCGTTAGTAAAGCGCGTTTAGCCACATACAATGCGAGATAAACTCGAGAGAATTTTTCACGACTGAAATAAGCTTAAAAAAGGAGAGTTTCTACGTGAAAATGCAATATTTCAGGGGTCTGAAATACAAAGTTGCGAGCTTATTTGTCCCCGTTTTCTATTGGTTTTAACTGATTGTAATTCGGGGTATTGTTTTATCTTTCAGCGGAATGTTATTCCTATTCTATCATCGCCTTTGTTGGCTCAAGAAGTTTCTTTCGATTGTCTCTGCAATGTAAACATGTTTAAACACGCGCTAATAAGATTTTGCTAAATTCATTCATTTTTATTAAAATAAATTACCATTTTACTTGTTTTTGCTTTTCTTGGTTACTTAGGAAGGGGACGCAGCACGAAACATTTGGTAAAAATCGGTCGCAAACACCAAAAAGATACAATACAGGATGCGCCAGAACTCGCGCCCCAGAAAAAAATGCCATATAAGATAAGATACCAGCAACATGGAAAAAATGTTAAAAAAAATTTTATCTTTTATTTCGAAGTTATGAGGGTTTAAAGTTTGCACTTTGACTCTATTTATTTCTGTTGGAAAAGTAATTTTTCAAGTTTTTTTGCTATAGGTTATTAAAAGAGGAAACAAGGAAGCTGTATCCTAAATTGTAACTCTGTTCAATGTTATTTGTGGCTTTTATTGGCAAAATTTTTGTCCCTTTACTAAATAATTGTAAAAAAACATATACAAGATCATCATTATCATTAAATAGATATAAAAATATGTCAAATGTCAAAAAATATATGTCAAATTTTTTTGACAGATACAATTTTTTTAACATTTTTTTCATGTTCCTGGTATCTTACCTTACTTGAAAATTTTCTCTGGGGCGCGAGTTCTGGCGCACCCTGTATTTTAGAAATCCTTCTTTTTTTCAAATCACAAATTTCCGATTAAAAATTTCAGTTTAAGTTAAAAACTGATCCAATTACAAAATATTTTAAAGAAAAAACAACCGGTAATTCGTAAACCAGACTCAAAAAATTAGTATCCTGCTGAGTGTTTTCTTTTTAAATTTGTTTTGTACAGGGTGAATATAAAATATCGAATTAAGCGTTTTTTTTTAAATCATTTGTTTCTAAAAAATAATAATTAATATAAATTAAAGTAACACTCGTTTAAAAAAATGATCTTATTTTGAGAACAAAATTTTGTTTTTGTTTGTTTTTGAGTTATTCGATTTTTGTTGTCAAAAATTCTTTAAAAAAAAATTCATTTAATATAAAGTAAAGTGGAAAGTTGTAATCCCTTATATCATGACCTTCATGAGAAAAATATTTGTTTGGTGGGTTGCCATTTAAAAGAAATAAATATTTTTGTAGAACTCAAAAACAAATAAAAATTTCAAAAAAAATTATTTTTGATAAAACATCACATTTTTATAGTACTTTATAATTCATCAATTTGTTTTT